TATATATATACATATGTATTTATATAAAATACATATGTATTTATATAAACAAATAGATACAAAAAAAATACACACCAGATTATACGATATCGGGAATGTACCTGCTCTCAGCTCCCCACAGGCGCCTGAGGTCCCAAAGGGTGGTTGCAGGCTCAAACTTGGAGGCGGCAAGGGCAAGTTGCTTGTCGAAGCAGACATCCATGGCATCCTTGAAGTTAGCTGCAGACTTGAGATTGTAGTGGTATCACAGGGCCAGGGGTAGTGTAGGACGAGTATAGGGTAGAGTGAATCTAGGGTTACTATCGGGCTGTTGTGAAGTTGAGTACGGCTACGATTCCTGTGGTCTTTGTGTGTGTGTGGTTGCCAACCTTCTCAGGAAGTATATGCCAGAGCCTGATTCTTTCCAACGGTCCAGGGCAAATTGGATGTCTACATTCTACATCTGGCGGAAACACTGCAACAACCCAAAGATTCTTCTCAATACCGGCTTGTCAAAACCATATGACCCACTCCGCCGCCTGCCTTGCCAGACACACCCAAACCCATGAAATCCAAAACTTAGCGACCCTCAACCGCCATTCAGCTTCTGGTCGCTTCCAAGTTGCCCACTGGCCCTTCCCTTTAAGGTTGCGAATCGTCTTGGTGGTGCGCGCATCAACGAGGTTGATGAAGCCTCTTCCCACTGCAACGCTATGCAGCTGGGGCGAGCTCTTGAGGGCTGGGTCTACGCTTGGGCCCGCACCATCGTAGGAGCAAGACACGACTTCACCTGTCGTCCAGTCCGCCTTGACCTTGCAAATGAGCGAACCCCGCTGTCAGGTCGGAAGCACATCAGACTCTCTGACGACTCTTACTCGAAGCAAAGACAAATCCTTCATGACATGGGTCGACTCTGCCGCAGGACTCAACGCTGTTCGTGCCGCAGCCGCTGAGCCCTGACTTTGCACGTGCTAGGGCGTTTAAATCCACCGTGAATCTGCTCAACATGGAATCACATGCATCCCTCTGTCCGAACAGGGATGTAGCGTGCAGTTCTTTGCCAAGTTTTCCCAAGCTTCCCCAGAAGCGAGAGTCTCTAGTAAGTTTCTATCCTAGTAGGATAGGGAAACTTAAACCGAAACCTTGTTTAGACCAGCCCCAACGTAGGGACTCCGCGCCGGTCTTTGCAGAAGAAGCGCATTCCGCACCATCGCAGAGTGGCACGGGATCATGCAAACTGGCCTGGGCATGAAAAGCCCGGAGTGTCAAGGACAGTTCAAGAACTCTGACGCCTGGCACTTCAGACTGCAGTCCTCGTATTGGCAGGGCTGTTCTGTGCTGATTGGCCAACCAGCCCACCCCTTCTCGCTGAAGCCTTACAAGCCTGGCCAACTCAAATCCCAAGTGGGATCGATACAAACACCTCCAGGCCCCTACCCTAGCCCTGCACCCCGTGACAGTCCGCATCCTAAGCCCTAAACGCGACCCTAACGTAGGGGCCTTAATAAT